CAATAAAGACCACCGAATTTATTTTTTCAAACTAAAATGATTAATTTATAATTTATTCATTTAAAACGAGCATTTGCCTTGCAGCCTTTGAATTTATGCATGCAAACAAAGTAGAATAATAAAATATTAAATCATACATTAGTCCTTCTAGTTTTAACAAATGAATTAGTTAGTTTTTAATGTTTTAATAACGAATTATTTAATCTTTTAATCAGTATTGATCATATTTAATATATTATATTTTATTTTATAAAATATTTTTTATTAATCTTCTTCATGGTATGAATTTATTTTTTATTCTTTATTTAAAAAAAGAAAAAAAATAAACAATATAAAAGGAACAAAATAAATAAATTATTAATTTTTGAAATAGAAAGATTAATTAAATTATTGTTTCAAAATAAGAGGACTAATTTATTGTTTATTCAATCAAAACTTGTAAATGCAAGCATTTGATATTAAAGCTTCACGTGTTCTTTCACTTTTCAAAATAAAAGGGTCCCATTTCCTCTCTCTTCTCTCATCTAATATCACCTAAAACTTCTCTCCCTCTCTGCTTATTGTCTCTGCCTCTCGTCCTCTCTGCTTGCCTCTCATCTCTGCCTCTCTCCCTCGACGCCTCTCATCCTTTCTGCCTCTCATCTCTACTCTCTACCTCTTATCCTCTCTGCCTCTCCATCTCTCTTCCTTTGGTCTCTGCCTCTCATGGCTGTCTAAAGTTCAGCAGTTGAAATAGCTGAAATTCTAAATTTTTTTGTAACGTTGTTATATAATGATAAATAATGATGATATATAATGATAACGTTGTTATTTGTCGTTATCCATATAAAATGTTATTGTGGCACTCGTAATATCGAATAACGGTAACATAATGTCTCGTTACTATCATATAACAATCGTTACATTAAGTAATTATCGTTTTTTAAAACTATGGTTGGTAAGAGATTTATCATTGATTGTTTAAATGATCTTTTGATTCTCACCTTCTATCCTTTCAAACCAATGCCTAGAACTACTCTTCCATATCACATCAACCGGGTTTCAAATCTACGAGATAGGTGTTTTAGAAACTAGAATGCTATGTTAATCATGGAATTGTTTGACGATTTTAGTGTGAGGTCAATTCTTAGAATCCTATTTGTAGAAGGTTACACACAGGATCGGTTTCTTTAGCACCACTCTAAGGATGATATCTACTTGATAAAGTCAGGCTATCAATTTGCCATGCACATGTTATAACATCAATTAACTACCGCCATCAATATTGATACCAACCGTCTATGAAAACTAACATGGATGCTCCAGGTTACTAGTAAGCTCAAAATATTTATCTAGAGAGCTCACCGCAACACTCTAGCTGTCAACTCTAACATGCACCATCGAATTCATGCCCTGTTAGCTTCATGTAATATTTGTGCACACAGATGAGGTTGAATCTCATCTTTACCTTTTTGCCAACTATCTGAAGGCAAAACTGGTGTCGCTTCTGTCTCCATTAAAACCTACGCGTTGATGTCTTACCTTTGACTTCTTTTTCAGACTGGTGGAAAGCCTTACTCACCCTCATTAATCAGTGGCATGAACTACCATTTCCCATTACACTTGCTTGTTTCATATGTTGAAGGTTGTGGAAAACTTGCAATGACTACACCTTCAATAATTTCGATTGACATCCTTCTCAAATACTTTCAGATCAGCTGTAGATCAGGAAGAATATAAACAATATAGTCAATTTACCACCTCACTTACATTGGATTTATTGTCGATTCCTAGACCATCCTCAGCTAACTAGCTTCCTCCAATTCCTGACTCCATCAAAATTAATTTCGATGGTGCTTTCTTTCCATCACTATGTCAGGTTCAACAGGTATTGTAGCTAGAGATCACCTTGAAGTTAGTTCATGTAGTAAAGAGCTTTTATTATCCTTTTGCATCAGAGATAACAATAGATGTATACCCAACCTATTAATTTAATTTTTTATTATATTTATTAAAAAAAAACCTACCCATTACTCATTAAAAAATCACAATATAAATCTTTATTCAGCCTATACTAGTTTACCTGCCCATTTAATGCTCATTAAATACCCATTAAATTTAATTTATTAAAAATATTTATTTTAGTCATTGTAAGTTTTTTAAAAAGTTTTTTATCCTTAAAATTTATTTATTTATTGCATTTTGATCATTTATTTATAAGTTTTTTTATCCTCAAAGTTTTTTTTTAAACATTTTGATCTTTAATTTTTAAATTTTACGATAAATCTAAATAAATGAGTGGATATTATTAGGATAAAAAATGGATATCTATATCCAAAAACTATATTAATGGATATACATTTTTTATCTTTATCTATTTTAATATTCATTGGACATTAGTATTTATTGAACATGATAAAATGATAATCATTTTATATCTAATTCATTTTCATCACTACTTTGCATTAGATGCTCACACCATGAAAGCCTTAGCCTTCAAAGAGGTCATCCTCTTAGCAAACTCTTTTCACCAATCACTGAAGGTGATGCCAAACTATTAGCAGTGAGCAATCAGTTATTCGATTCAGTTTCGAATAATTTCGATTCGATTTTTGATTAATCAAATTGTGAGAAACAAAAATTAAAATCAAACCAAAGTCAAATTTGGTTTTTCGTTTAAAAAACTGAAATTTCAGTTTCAGTTTTTTATTTTTTCGGTTTAAATCAATTTTTGAAAAGAAAAAAATGAATGGGCTTCTATCTTTTAGCAAATGGGTTGGTCTATTGCTCATCTTATATGCACCCTTGCCTGTAAAAAAGACAATTGTGCATTGCAGCCTTGCAGGAGTTCTTTTGAATCATTTCAGAAATTCTAATCAATGACCCAGCTTCCAGAACATGAAAAATTATAACATTAAAAAATCCTAGTTAACACAAACATTACATAAATCAATAAATACAGTACAGATTTTGTATAATGTCCTAAGGAAGGGAGAGTCACTTTCTCCTTAGCTTTGATTTCTTGGTAGAAGCTGAGACAAAAGCTACCCACATCACATGGTTTTCCAAGAATCATCAATTCTGTAATTTGAAACTTTTCTCGTTCCATATTCATAATGATGCCTACCACAAGCTCCCATATATGGCCTCCTTTAAAATGGGTTTTCTCTCGTCAATGCTACCATTACCTCTGTGGTGACTTATGATTGTCTCTGATTTAAGGTAAGTGCACCATTGATCTACGAAAGAAAAAATGTCAAAAGAAGATATTTAACAAATTTGTTCCTCTCTTTTATTATTTCGTTATTTTTTCTATCAAAACTTGGCGATATATGTCAAGTAGCAACAAGCACTAGGCACAGCATTTTCATCTTATGATTCATCATTAAAAAAAAAAAAAAAAAATTCCATTTTGGAGGAACCCTGGTTAAGGAAAATTTGAAAAAAAATAATACCAAGTGCCAAACAAAACAGGGCCTGTTACTTATAGCTAAACCTATGAAATTCCAATCCACTAAATGACCTCTCGAAAAGCTACAGTGTTTTCTTTCAATTTTCATCATTTTAGTGTAACATAATTCCCTTCCTAATTAGAATTGTGGGGACCTTGAAAGCAGCAATTTGATGTAAATAACAAGCAATTACTTGGAAAGGTTTTAGCAAAATCATTCCATTTTTGCCCTAGATATGTACGTTTCGCACATGTACTAAACAATTCTAAATTGGGTTCTTAAAACTATTTTTTCTAAGGTAATAATGCTACTGAGGTATTAAATTGCTGAATCCACTTATACTAAACAAGAACCCAATTTTACAGCATGATTTGCCCATTTTTATTTGACCATAAACAGAGAAAAAAGAAAAGAAAAAGAGAGTAAAAATAACTAACCTGGAATGTCGAAGCCGAAACCAGGAGGAGAAAACTGACTACAACAGGAGAAAGAGTAGTGTGACTGTCGGAGGAGGAGGGAGAGGCGGGAGGTGAGAGAGAGGGTCTGGATTTTGTACAGTTGAGTTGAGGGTAGGTTGAAGAGATATGGACTGAGATTTAATGGTGTGTGCTATGGGAGTGGGTGGCTTCAGATGTTGAAATTGAAGAGATGAAGTGAGATGAGACTGTTGTTGTATGCAGACGTCTGAGGGGGCATGTGACTGGGAATTAGGGTAAAATGACTTAGGAGTATTTTATTATTTTATTTTTCAAAAATAATATAATGTATAAATAAACACATAATCAGTTTTGGATTTAAACTGAATTAAAATTTTAAAAAATCAAACCGAACGAATCAAAATAATTTTGATTTTTTATTCAATTTTTTATTTTTTATTTTTTATTTATAAACCGAACCAAAACTAATAATTTGATTTGGTTTGATTTTTCGATTTTCACCTAATTTTACTCACCCCTACAAACTACCGATCGAAGTTGCCAAGTCTTGCTAATTCAATATCAGTGAGGCTTATTCCATCACTCAGGAGATTACTAGAAGAATCATCTCTCGATCATTAGTTTCTTTTGTTTTTATTCGTCGTACATGTTATTGGACTCTTCATAATGCAGTACAGAAAAGCCTAGCTTACAGATTGTCACTAGTTTGACAACTCTATAGACCTTTTTTTAGTTGGATCTGTGATCATTTGGAAGATTCAAACATTTTCACTTAGTACATGAGATAGAATTACCAAAAAAAAGAAATTGTATTTTAGCTCATGGTTACACATTTCATGTTGTCATTTCAAAACCTTACATGTTACATCGCACTTTGTAATTTGGATCAAATCATTTTATTTCAAGCATCAACAAACTACTCCTACATTTCTATGCACCATTAATTTTGATGAATTCTCATTTGCATCTCCATTAAACTTGGAAATTTTTACGACCTGTATTGATTGAACAGGTGCATATATTATTAGCACTGAGCAGGTCTAGGTTTGCTACTATAAGAGTAGTTTGACAATTGCAATGCCAACCTCCAATTATGATTCTTGACCTAAAGTCTGTGTAGCCTGGCTCTCATTTATTGTGCTTCATCTGCTACTGCTCTAACATCAACTCTAACTCCTACTGACCTCGATAGCGTCATTTTACAGTAGGCATCAATCAAGACCCTTCCTATCCTCAAATCTTGGGAGTGAGAATTTAGGAATGCAAAGGTAATCCAAATCTAACATTAAACTAAAGCAAAAAAGAAAAAAGGAAAAACAGATTACATAATAAATTAAAAGAAAATACAACTGATGTGGAAAAATAAGAAAAGAAAGGAAAGGTACTTAGCATATGTAGCAGATTATTACAATTATACAAACCAGAAATTTCAGTCCCAAGTTTTTACGTTGTCAAAAACATGTCCTAGAATACCTCGAGTTTGTTCATCACATCATAAACATGAGCGTATTTATTAATACAAAGTTCATTTTTCTATTCACCATGCATCATAGTTTAGATGGATATATAGCAACAAATTAATCATTGAAACCGTACAGTCTACATATTCTCCTCTCAATTTCGAAACCCTTTTGAAGCCCACTGAGCTGAGAAAAGGAAAACAAATAAGATCCATACTACCTCTGGACTTCAAACTAATGCCGGTTTTGCATGTATGCCCTCTTGGGAATCTAATTAATGAGAAAGATTACCAGCTGCAATCCTTGCTCTTAGGTCCTTTCTCAAGATTTTACCCGATGGAGCCTTGGGAATCGCTTCCGTGAAGAAAACCCGACTAATTCTCTTATAAAAGACCACCTATACAACAAATCATCACACCCATTTAATTAAATCATCAAAATGTGAACTATATATAATCCAGAAAAATTGTAAGGGATAACGTATCCATATGTTTTAGACACATTATATAGGTTTCAAGCTTTTGATTTTGGAAAACTTCACGTGAACAATATTATCATTACTACCAAACTATGGAGAAACTCCATTGCTATTAAGTTGATTTAAGGATCTGCACTGTTGTGGCAAATTACTTGACATTTAATTCATAATAACGTAATACTGTGGTTATTTATACTTGTTATTAAATAGCTACTGCTGGCTGCCATATCACATATACCATTAAGTATTAGAAGTCAAGGGACCATATTGAGTGATTCTGCAATACTGAATAATATAAAGAAAAAAAGAGAGAGATTTAAAATTTTTCTCTTAATCCATTATCATTTGTTATTTAAAAGAAAAGAAAGAAATAAAAAGTCATTTTGTAGATGATAAAAATTTCAAGACTTAATTATTAGGGATCAAATAAACCTTTCTCTTGGTATTTATTAATTATTAGGGTTGTAGACACAGACAATGTATATTAATTGATGTATAACATGTAAGTACCTGTTTTGAGATATATTGTCTGATTTCATCCTCGGTGATCTTGGAACCATTTGATCGCACCACAAAAGCAACAGGAACCTCTCCGGCAGCTTCATCTTTCATGCTGAAATGCCCAAAAAAAGAAATTATACATTAAATGCATAGATCTTAGCTTGTTGAAAAAGTACATGAAAATAAGCAAATATGTAAGTGAACTTACGGTACTACAGCAGCATCAGAGATGTTAGGATGAGCAATCAACATTGCTTCAAGCTCAGCCGGTGCTACTTGAAAACCTTTGTATTTGATCAATTCTTTCAATCTATCGACGATAAAGAGCTCATCATCATCGTCAATGTATCCAATATCGCCGGTGTGTAACCATCCATCTTTGTCTATGGTCCTTTCAGTGGCCTCAGGGTCATTTAGATAACCTATCCAAAAGCAATGAGATCGAAATTCATACTGTTAGGGGATTGTTTTTACGTGTTCTTCTTAATTACTTGATGGAAGTTTCTGTTGCCTTGGATTATCTCAACAATTGAGGGAAATATTTCCCGCACGGCATGCATAGTTTATTTTACTAAAAAGGTTACATTTTCAGTGCGCTAGAAAACAGAAATGAATACAAACTTCAAATTTTATAAGGGAAAAATTTAGGTTAGAGTAAAAACTACGGTGAATGGATGTAGAAGCCTAACTAGGGTCCATCATTTTCAGGACCGTAACCCTTTAACTTGAGTAAAGATTTCAACGCTTTTTCCATGCTGGCATCATGAGAGCAGGGCACATGCATGACATGGTGAGTGGGGGACGCTAGACAGTGGATTACAAAGTCCTATTACCAACTACTAATTGGCGAGAATGGACCCACGCCCAAAAATAATCTTTTTAATAGAACGGGTAAATTCACTATTTCCGTTAATAGAACGGGTAAATTCACTATTTCCGTTAATAGAACGGGTAAATTCACTATTTCCGCCCCGTGCTTTTATAAATTAATTAAATATTTTTTTGTATTTTAATTAATTAACCATGTTTATTTTTAATTTTAATTATTTAAATGCAACTTTCTAAAATATATTAAATAAAATACAAATATAATATATACATATATAAATACTGTATATAAATCCTATTTTACATATGTATTTATTGATCGAATTGAAAACACAGACTTATTGGATGAGCTTATGAAATCGCATGTTTCAAATAGTGTGTATTTAGATTATTAGAATGGGTGCTTAAGGATAACAGAAAATGCTTAATAATTAATATGGTTAATTAGTTCATAAACATGTCTTCAATTAACCCCGTAATTCAGTTATCCAATTATATATAGTTACCTAATTAAGGGTTGAAAAACCAAAAAGGTTCCCTAATTATGAAATCGTACCTTATGCGACTCTACCTAAGGTTGGTGAGAAAGGTAGATCTAACCCTCACCTCATATTTTGTAGTTGCGGAAGGTCTAACCTAACTTTTGTTTTTTCAATCAACCATTATTATTATTTTTTTTGTCAAAGTGAATGCATGGGGATATTTATAATAAATAAATGATAATAATAGGGAAAAAGGGGGCGGTAAAAAAGAAGACGTGAAAGCGTCTTTGCGGGCCTCAAAAAAAAAAAAAAAAGAAAAAAGAAAACGTTGGTAACAGAAGTCTGTAGTCCCCCCGCACCAAATAGTCAATCCTATCAGTGCCAGACATTCAATCAACATGGAATTTGAACTTCATCGCTCTTTAGAGCAGTTATGATCACGTCTCTCTCGTGGGGTAATCCTGTTAAATTATTCGACTCTAACTTCACTGTAATCTTTTTCAACATATTTCATTTCCATGGAAACAATCTTCACTTCCTTTAGTTGTGGTACATGTGGTTTGTTCTCTTGACATAGTTCAGTACCTAAAAAACTAAATCAATTCATTTTCCACCCTAAAAGGATATAATTACTTTACTTGACATGCTTTAAGTACTAACTTTACTGCTATTAATTGAAGTAAAAAATTTCTTGGCTATCCATCAGTGTTCGAACATTAATCATGACATGCAACGACAAGTATAGATAACTGGTAGAAATGTGTACCTTTCATGATTTGGCTACCCCTAATGCAAATCTCTCCGGCTTGATTTCGGGGAAGGGAATTACCGGTATCGGTATCGGGATCAACAATCTTCATCTCGGCATTTCTAACAACAGTCCCACAGGCACCAGATTTAATTTCAAAGGGTTCCTTCGCAAATGCCAAGCACATTGATAGCACGGGTCCTGCCTCTGTCATTCCATATCCCTACACGTAAAATGAAGGAGTAAATGCAAACCGAAATTTTGGATCTTGTATGTGCATCCTAATTGAGTAGCCTCCAATATAATTCTCAGGCCTAGAGCATTTATTTATTGAGTGTCATACTCCCAGACCTGTATATGGCCGACTACATTAATGGGGTCGTTATTGGTCCCACCAAAAAAAGTAAAAAATTAGGGATACGGAATCAAGCTTTGAAGAATAATTAATCCAAATCAGGCATAGAATTTGATTTAAACAAATCTCAAAAAAAAAAAAAAAAAAAAAACCCTAATTTGCAAGATTAATTAAGAGAGATTGTTCTTTTTGTTTGGTATAGAACTTTAAGAAAAACTAAAAAAAGTGGAATGGTAAAAATATAATAAAATTAACTCTATACCTGTCCAAGAATAGCATGAGGCAGCTTAGCCCTCACAGTGTCCTCAAGCTCCTTCCCCATCGGTGCGGCACCGGACATTACTGTCCGAATGGAAGAAAGGTCATACTTATCAACGAGTGGACTTTTTGCAATTGCTAGGACGATAGGTGGCACAAATGGAGCAATTGTCACCTTATATTTTTGTACAAGCTCCATTAATGTAAGAATCTCAAATTTTTGCATAAGCAAAATTGCTGAACCAACTCTTAGCCCACAAAGTAACACGGAATTGAGTGAGTAGATGTGGAATAAAGGCAACACACAAAGAATCACATCCTTCTCGTGAAAATAGAGGTTGGGATTCTCTCCATCAACTTGTTGTGCCACACTAGTAACGAGCCCTTTATGAGTCAACATGACGCCCTTAGGGAGACCTGTAGTCCCTGACGAATAAGGGAGTGCCACGACATCATCAGGGTTAATCTTGACCGCAGGGATATCATTCTCATCAGAATTTGTCAACTCTGAGAAGTGCAAGCAGTTTTCTGGTGGCGAGTCAATGGTCATTATTTTGACATGAACATTTTCTTTAGCGAACTGCTGCACTTTCTCGGCATAAACTGCTTGTGTTATTATCAGCTTTGCCTTTGATGCTGTTGCTTGTTTTGCAATCTCAGCAGGAGTATAAAAAGGGTTTGCAGTTGTGCTGGTAGCGCCAATAAATGATGCACCAAGAAATGCAAACACAAATTCTGGCGAGTTTTGGAGCAAGATCATTATAACATCGCCTTTTTGGATGCCTAACTTGTGGAGACCAGAGGCAACTTTGCGTGATGTGAGCTCAACGTCCCCATAAGTGTAGATATCACCGGTAGAGCCATTGATCAAGCAGGGATTGTCTTTGAATTGGGAAAGGTTTTCAAAGCAATAAGCGTGCAGAGGGAGGTGGTTTGGGACATAGATATCTGGGAGTTTGGACCTGAAAATGAATTCTTGTACTTGATCATTTTTGGCCTCCATTGTTTGGAAGAGAGAAAGAGAAATGAAAGAGAGATTTTTTGGGAAGCAAAAGAGAAGGTAGGTGTTTGGTTAATTGCTTCCCTGACTTGGCTTGGTTTTTGGTTGAGGTAATATACAAGTAGGTGATGGTAGAGGGGAACCGGTGAGAGGGAGTTGCAGGGGATTTTGATATTTGTCACTAACCCAATCCAAACAATCCAAGAAAGGAGGTTTTAATTGAGGGTAAAACTAGCGAATCTCTTATATTTAACCTTTAAAAGATCTCTTAATTATGCATTATATATATATATACCTTGAGGAGAAGAAAATGTTAAAATCTAAAATGTTAATTATATGCGTCATATGCGTGCGCGTGCGCTAGGGTCTTATTACCAAAACTTCTGGTAGTCCCAAATGTAGCTTGGCACCTTTGACAATTGGACACGTAGCTATAAGTCAAGCGTATTGATTTGTGGTTGTTCCAATGAATTGGTGGCCATGTGTTTTGTTTAGGGTATGATTTTGAGGTTGTTGTGATTTTTGATGATGTTTACTCATCTAATTTGGACTCTTTTTAAAAATAAGAACAAAAATGAGGTCTGGCGAGGGGTATAATTGGTGATACAGGTGCAAGTACACGTCAAGTTTTTTTTTTTTTTGATTCAAAGGAGAGGCATGTCACGTTTTTGACTGGAAGATAACTATCCGATGCCAAGTAGGATATCACCTAACTTGCCCTTTAATTAGTTGCATTCGATAGGAGGTCATTTTGCTGGTATGATAGGAGCAAACAACACCACTCTCACCAACCACGATTGCTGCCATATATCCGATCCTCAAGAAACTAAACACAGACGAAAAAGGAAATGGGCAAAGACAATCCAATAAAACACATTCAAGTGGTTTAGATTTTGTTACAAGAAAAAGCAAAACGAGGTAGCTTGTCTAAATCAAATAGTGGATTTTGTTACATTTTGTTACAATTTGCAGCGGCATATGTATGACGTCCAAATGGCGTCATTCATAGCTTTTTTTTTTTTTTTTTTTTTTTTTTTTTTTCAATTTGAGGATTGGGTATCATCTCATGTTTCCTTTTGTTATATTTAATCAACTTCGTCATGTCAAATGTAAATTGAATGTATATAACTTACTATAGGCTAAAAATGATAATAATTTAATTCATTATATTTTATTTTTCTTATCTAATTCAAATCATTGAATTCAAATTAAATATATATGATTTAATTTATGATAAAAATAGTGATATTTTAACTCTTTATATTTTATTTCTTTTATCTAATCTAAATTATTGAATTCAAATTGAATGTGTGTGATCAAGAGCAACAATTTATTTTTATTTTTATTGATATTTCAAATCTCAATCTTAATTTAGAATTCAATGATTGAGACTAAATGAAAGAATTAAAACAGATAAAATTTATATTAATTAAAAACAAATAAAAATAATGCTACTGTCCAGCTCAATCATAAGATAAAAATATTGCTTGTACAAGATAATGAGGGGAAAAAAATCCTATCTTTTGGTTATATTTGAGTCATTTGGAGATTGAAAATTAAATAAAAATGAAATTTTATTTCAATACCAAGAAAAAAAAAGATATAATTATTTAAGATATCATGAATTTACATAAAATGATATAAAAGTTTAGATATATAACAAAATATTTTTTTTATAAGTATTGAAAATGCATTTACTATTTTCAAAATGTCCTTACATTAAATTGATTGATTTTAAAAATAGCTATAGCATTTTAGATACAAAAGATAATTTTTTTTATTTTTTTATACGTCAAGAAGAATTTTTTTAAATCTTTCAAATTTTGATATTACACTATTTTCTGAAGGATTGTTATAATTTAATATTAAAAAAATGTAACAATTTGAAATTTTGTTGTTGAATTTGTGGCTATACAATTTTAATTGCTAAAGGTATTTAAAAAAAGTGAGAACCGACAATAACAGTATATGGCATTGTCAAAGGTGTTTGAAAAAAGGAGTACTTTGACATGATAGCATTATAAAAAGGTGTTTAAAAAAATGGAAAAAGTGGGGGATACCATTTTTTTATGAAATAATATTTTATTAATATAAAAGAATCATTAATATTTTATGATTATAATTATACAAATTACAATCATAATAGGAACACAATCTTACTATTTGGAAAGAGATCTTCGCACCAACAATTGTGAAAATTGGCCTTTCAAACAGCAATTGATTTTTTCATGATTTTTGGACAAAAAAACTAAATTATCTGGAACTCTTAAACTTGCATGGATTGTCCTTGTATGTAGTTGTAAGCACTGCTCTTAATTAAAATACTAATAGGCCTATCTTCAATAAAAATGTTATTTTTCTTCGATAAATCATGTTCTTAATAAAACTAATATAAGTGTCTTTCTTCTCATTTTTAATGTCACTCCACCTGTATAGAAAGAAACCGAAGAACCATAATATGCGGAGTGACATCAATAGTTGGTGGAAAGTTATATTAAATAATCTTTTCAAATTGAAAATAACAAAAAGACTGGTGGATTGATTTAACTTTTATTCTTATATATTAGGTAAATTCTTTAATTGGTCTCTATATCTCATCACATTTTTCAAAAAGTGTTTTTGTTACCTTTTCTAATTAACTAGAATGCCCTTCAAGATAAAGTGAAAAAAAAAAAAAGTGAGCATAAAGTAATGTAAAAATGATTTTCAAAAAACTAAATTTAATGAATTTGGTGCCTAAATAAAATGAAAAAATTGAAAATTAAATTAAATAAAACTAATATTGACATGGTAGTTGGTTGATATTAGCTCAAGATAAGCACGCATTGTTAGTTGTGCTATTTTTCATCCCTATAAAGTTTTTGTTTAATAATTTGTATATTTTAATTTACAGATGTGGCATCGATCTATTTAACTAGGTTTTTATTTGAGAGAATAATTTATGTTTCAAAATTAATTTAAAGTTTTTTTTCTATTGAAAGGTTTTTTGTCATAAAAAGTGACAAACTACCTCTTGCATATCTTGAGATATAAGCATTTATGGTGTTGATATCATAACTCAACAGGCGATTAGAGATATAGCTTTTTCATTTGATGCTCTATCTACTCTTAAGAAATTAAAAAATAAATAAAAGAATTTGACTTTTGGGGGCTATATAAACATATTCTAAAATCTCCTCTAGCTGATCAAAAGCAATTTCAAAAGCGTTTCAAAAGCAATAGAAAATCAGCACAACGTACTCACGAAAATGACTTTGATGTTAAAACGATAAAACTGATCATTTTTTGACCAAACGATAACATTGATTTAATTTATTTTAAATTCATAAAATATTTTTAATTAATAATAGTAAGAAATTTTTTTAAATAACCATAAAATGTCAAATTAAAATCTTTAAATTTTAATGTTTTTCACTGACCCATTCAGAGGATTAAATTGGACTTCATTAATATTCATAAAAAAGAATAATAAGGATAATGTATTTTAATCTAGTCCAATATGTTTTGCTTAAAATTATTTTTAAAATTAATAGAATAATTAAAACGTAAGGTTTAAGGTTTATCTCATCAAATTAGTTATCCATAAACCGGTTAACTTAATTTTAGGATATCCTTAATTAGTTAAAATGAGTTGTCAATCAGCAGTTGTTGTATTAAAAAGTAATGGCGACATGGCAAATATATCATAGATACCCAGTAAACTCACCTCGTGTGGGTTGTTGCTACCCAACGTTCATGACTTCTAAAAATAATAAGTTAAAATTTATTTATTTGGAGATATTAGTTAAATTAAGTTTTTGGAGTCGTCATTTAATATTAAAAGAACTAAAAATCTAAAATTGATACTAGTTTACAGATTTTAGAGCAAGAAATTGATTATACTTTTGAGAAGATATCAATCACTCAAAGACACTCTTTCCGAGAAAAAGGTACTACAATAACTTTATTTTTTGACCACTCGTTTATTTCATACAAATTAAAATTCAAAAAAAAAAAAATTGAAACGTTGCATAGTTTGTCTTTTCTATGATTTTTAGGTATTTTTATAAATTTTTAGGATTTTAATTTCCTAGAATTATTCCTCATTTTTAATTAAAAAAAGAAGAAGAAATGAATGAAATTTTTCTTTGAGAAGATGATTTGTTACCCAATTGAAAATGATATGAAAAACAAAAACTAAACAATATTCAAATAAGGATGTAATTGAAAAAGCGATAAAATTCTAGAAACTCGATTTTGAATTAATTACTCGTGACATCAAAAAAAATCAAGAGAAGAGGGATTAAATAATTTCAATTAAAGAGCTAATTAAAAAAAAAATACTATAACATATATTGAAATTGAGAAAAATAATCCAAAAAAGGACCTAAATTTGTTTTATCCCTAAACCCTTAAAATTTGCTATATAAACACCATTTCCCTTTATTTTTAAAAGGAGCCTCCACAATTATTTTCCTACCACAATTATCGTAGATTTTTTGAAAGTTGAAATTGTATAGGGGATTAAGCACTTCATAACAATTCGGAAGACGACCTTATTGATCATTCTACTGTAGAGTCCGACCCTCTCTACAGCACTTTAACATAAAATCTAGAGGTAGATAGTCTCCCATCTCAATTTAAACTCATTCGATCCGGCCTCGAGATCCCGATAATGTTTCCTATTTTCTCATTCATGATTTATGTCGGTGATAACTCGCAAAAACTAGGGTTAGAAATGATATCATTTGAAAATATTTTGTCCTAACGAGTCAATCGTAATGGATAAGAACTAATTTCTCTAGGTTTAGGAAAAATTTGTCTAATTCTAAAGTCTTTTCAAGTTTATGTATTGCTTAGTTTACCGAGTGGAGTAACCTAATCTCTAACCTTATGCACTAAGAAGTATAGTAAGGTCATTTCATAATTTTTTATGCATAAGGTGAGTTTCAATCTAAACGCGAGTCCAAACGAGTATCAGTAGACTTTTATCATACTTGTCTTTAAATCTCTCTCGTCTAAAT